CTTTCCATATTTGGGGCCACCAAAAATCTCGAGAAATAAGCTCCAAGGTCTTGTTGAATCCAAAATGTTTCGCAGTTGGAAAATCGTGGCGAGATTGAAGAACTCGGAGTTGTGCTGGTCCTTTTGGGATATATAACCGTTCTTCAAAGTATAAAAGATCTCCCTCCACCTTGAACTTGTCGTCATTGGCACGCTGCTTAATATCAATGGCTACTGAATCTTCAATGGTTACGGCATGTACCTGATTCAGGAAGTCAGCATCAATTGGCATAATAGTAGCGCAAAGCTGAAATTGCTCTGGCTTCAACAATGTCGTACATTGTTGATCAAACGCTGCTTCTCCAACCTTTGGTACAAGATACGATCTCCTTGATAAGGCATCAGATAGTCCTTGCTGCTTTCCAGGTCGATAAGTGATAATAAAATCGAACCTAGATAGCAACATACTCCATCGAGCTTGACGTCGATTTAGAACTCGAGCCGATATGAAATACTCCAAATTCTTGTGATCTGTGTATACAGTCACTGGATGTGCAGCTCCTTCAAGAAAGTGACGCCATTCTTAGAAAGAATCCACTATAGCAAGAAGTTCCTTATCGTGGATCTCATAATTGATTTCAGCAACAGAGAACTTTCGAGAATAGAATGCAACCGGATGGAGCTTCTTATCTTCTCTCATTTGTGAAAGTACAGCTTCCAAAGCAAAATCCGAAGCATCAGTTTCTAAATAGAAGGCCTTTGTAAAGTCTGGATGTATCAAGATTGGAGCCGTAGTAAATGCGGTCTTCAGGTTTTGAAACGCCTTCTCTGCTAGAGGTCCCCATTCTAGCTTATCCTTACATGTCAACCGAGTGAGAGGAGCAGCAACTTGAGAGTAATTCTTGATAAAGATCCGATAGAAGTTGGCAAAACCAAGAAAGCATTGTACATCTCTAACCGTCTTCGGAACCTCCTAGGACACGATTGCTTCCACCTTCTTGGGGTCCATCTTCAAGCCTTCCGTAGTCGCAACGAACCCCAGAAACTCCATCTCTATTTGGTGAAATAAACACTTCTCCAACTTGGCATATAGTCCTCGCTCACGTAGTTTCTCCAATACCAAACGAACGTGTTTTTCATGCACTTCCTCATTTTTGGAGAATATCAAAATATCATCCAAATAGATGACAACAAAATCGTCAAGGTACTCTCGAAAAATGTCATTCATCATATGTTGAAAGACCGTTGGAGCATTGATAAGACCAAAGGGCATGACATTATATTCAAAATGGCCATACCTTGTACGGAACGCTGTCTTCCACTCATCTCCTTCCTTGATTCGTACAAGGTTGTAAGCTCCCTTTAGATCAATTTTTATAAAGATCCTTGCACGTCCAAGTTGTTCTAAGAGACCAGAAATCAAGGGTAACGGATAACAATTCTTCTTTGTTACCTTGTTGAGGCCTCGATAGTCCACGCACATCCGCAACGAGCCATCTTTCTTCTTCACAAATAAGATGGGTGCTGCAGCTGACGATTTTGAATGACGGATGAAGTTCTTGGCTAGATTCTCGTCGATGTACTTCCGCAACTCCGCCAACTCCATCTGCGATAGATTGTAGATTGGGCCAAAAGGCGGTTGTGCTCTTTCCTGTAAATCTATGGCGCAATCATATGGTCTGTGTTCCAGTAGCATGTCGACATTTTTCTTTTGAAACACGTCTTTAAAATCCTTATATTGCTCCGGTATACTTGCTATCAAGATCTTCTCCCCGGTAGTTGGAGCCGCATAAATGACAAACGGTGTGCCTCCCTTGGACAATCTTATAAATGCTTTTGCTCCGATAAATAAGGATTTCGCTATTCGGGGTTTTCTACTAGGCTTGCTCTTGGGTGGTTTTGTGGGAAAGGTCATCTTCCGCAACTTCCAATCTATGGATGGATTATGCTTTTCCAACCAGGAAAGACCAAGAATAACAGGATTTGATGGGGTTCTAATAATATTGAAAATAATATGACTACTATGGTCCTTAAACGTCACTTCTATAGGTTCTGATTCATGGGTGACACTACCAGACAATAAAGGTCGTCCATCTATGACCTCAACGTGAACAGGTTTGGATTTTTGTACTAAAGGGATCTTATGACGCTTTGCAAATTCTTCGTCTAAAAAACAAGCAGATGCTCCTGAATCTAATAATGCTAAGGTTCTCAGTTTCTGAGGGCCAATAAGCAAAGGGATTGTAAAACAAAGGGCAGGTTGAGCGGAAAGAAAGGAACCTGGTTGTTGTTGCGATATTTCACTGTCCAGTCGCACGGTTTCTATTGTGGCTGGGCATCCTCGTTTTCCTGAATAAACGCATCCCTAGTCTTGATAATACGTCGTTTTTGCTTCTTGGGGCAGTTTCCAACTTTGTGGCCTTCTTCACCGCAATACAAGCATAGACCTTCCTCCATACGCTGCTTTTTTCTTCTAGAGTAAGAGATTTGACACATACCGCATCAATTTACATGTCTTCTACCTCTAAATGTGAATTCACGTTGCTTGCCGACATAGTTGGGGTGTGGGAAACCGTATGTTGTCTTGAACGTTGGTCTTGGTGACGTTGGTATAGGCGGTTATCGCAGTTCACAGCTTGGCTAATAGCTTCGTTGAGCGTTTGCGGATCAGGAAGAGTTAACAGCAAATCCTTCACATCGTCCCTTAAATCCCAATAGAATTGATTCATCAACGCTTCTTCGTCCCAATTGATGTCGCATGCTAATTGCCTGAAGTCCGATGCATAGACTGATGTAGAATGCATCCCTTGTCGTAGTGACCGGATCTTTGTTGTAGCCCTTCGAACCTTGTCGTATTCACCAAATGCTTCCGCAAATGCCTCCAAAAAGGTTTCAAAGTTGTTTAGTATGGACTATCGTTTCTCAAACAAAAGAGCAAACCATGATAGAGCTTGTCTTGTAAATAAGGTTCCAACAAGCCCAACACGTGACTCCTCCGTTGGATAGCGTTCGGACTGTAAAACTGTTATCAATCTGATTTGGTTGAAGAATCCTCGAAACTTGGAACGTGTACCATCGAACTTGTCCGGAAGGCTAACTCGGGGTTCCTTATGTTGTAGAACCAGCGGTGCTTGTCGAACCTGAGGCAAAGTTGCTTCTCCAAGTGTAGAAGTTTGAGGCTGGTGCAACCTAGATTGTGCCATCCCAGATGCTCCATCATTATGAAGCCTTGCCACGACTCCTTCAATCTCTGCAGTTCTTTGTAATAACGTAGCGAGGGCATTCATGATAGCATCTAACTTGGACTCTGAACTTTCCGTCATACTAATGTCTTGGCCCCCGACCATTCTAAGAGAAGGACAGAAATGACTCTACAAGAAGACAATATTGGTTTAGAGGAGGGTACTCCGCAACCTCTAAAATGCCTTAAGAGCTTCAAGAAAAGGGGTAATCCACTCTCTCCAAGAAAAATAAGACTCCAATATTGTAACAAAAGAAGTATCAATTTAGAGGAGGGTAATCCGCAACCTCTAAAGTGCTAGTACACTTCCAAGCAGAGGGGTAATCCACACTCTAACAAAGAAGAAACTAGCTCTGATATCTGAGGTGAGTGAAGTCTCAACAAACTGTCACGGACACAGAATACAGACTTGATATCTACCAAGAAGTTCAAGGAGAACTGGCAAGAACTAGATTAATCAGATGAATACAAGAACAACACCAGAGAGGTGAGCTAGAGCTCCAAGAGATGTGTTGTCGAGACTGAAGAACTCTTCAGCCTCGATTCCAATATATACTTCTATTTAGGAAGCTTCTCAAGCAACTTCTACCAACTAGGAAGCTTCTAGAAGGTTCCAAAGACTTGCTTCTAGAAGGTTCTAGAAACTTATCTCTAGAAGGTTCTAAGGACTATGTCCCTAATAGTTCTTTTGATTTAGCTATTTAAGTTGTAGTAAATAAATAAATAAAAATTTACCAATTACATTGAAAAAAATGTAAATATTTCCATTATTATGTATATACTCTTCTTCTTATTTTCTCTTTTCTTTGGTCAAAATTTTGTTTAGAAATAGTCAATTTTTTACTTAGCAACCACAAATTAAATTTTTATAGCTTTTTTGTGGCCAACAACACAAGTTTCTACTTGTGTATATATGTTTGTATATATATGGTATATTTAGAATTATGTCTTATTCTTTTTCTTTACTTTGTTCTAATAAAAATTATATTAGAATCAAAGAACACTATTCATTGCTTGACATTTCAATATGATTTTTATTTTTATTTTTATTTTTTTCTCTCTCCCTTTTCTTTTTCTTATCTTTTATTGCACTGTTCCAAACATAACAACCTATATTCTTCATATGTATCACATTTATCATCTATCAAGAAACATATAATTAGAACTAAGAATACATAAAGAAATAAAATAAAAATACATGTACAACCATACAAAATGCAACTGGTATACAAAGAGGTTGAGGGTAGCTTATAGCCACAAACTATTGATGAAAGTAGAGGGGCAGCAAGCAACAATGACACAGGGCAAGGAGTAGGCAACATTGGAGCAACAACCATAAAATAACTAGAGGCATGGACAAGCAAGGGCAGGGAAGGGGTGGACAAGTGAAGTGCAAGCGAGCACCTCATTAACTATTTATGCAACTTGTTTGGAGTCAAGCAGCAACCAAGCTTCCACCTGTTGCCTACTCTTTTGTGGAGTTGGACAACAATGCAACCTTAGCCATTGAAGAGACTCATGTGGATGGATGTCTTGGGGAGGACATCTGTCCGCAGGACATCTTTGACAAGAATGTCACAACGAATGTCATTTCTATTTGGAAGTAGGATGTTTACTAGAAACAACTAGCACTGATAGAAGCAGTAATAAATGACTGCAAAAGCACAGAAGTTTGCAAGTTTACCGCTGGAAGTTCTGCATTCTCAACCTACACTTGCATAACTATCATATCATGATGATGCAATTATACAATTCAATATCATAAATTTGAGCAACTTACTTAGTCAGATTACAAGTGCAAATTCACACCTGCTCACACCTCTTAATTTTGAAAAAAATTTAACAAAATTGGCATTTCCAATCAGCGAGCCCTTGACTCAAAAAACTTCGTACAGATATTGAAGATACACAATTCTCAGGAGACCAACATAGTGATACAGGATACTTTACATCAACCAATCCTGAAAGCCGGAACCCCGCAGGAGCGCAAACAGAACAGCTTGTGGGTCATAGCCTGGGTCAAGAGCACATTATTGCTCCTTCATGCCCAGTATTGCCAGAACAAGGACCAATTCAATTTTTCCGATGTTGCGCCGCGAGATACCCGTCCCATCCCTTTGGAGCTTAATATTCACCTAAATGTTTGAACACGGTTCTTGAGCATGTTATGCCAGAAGTAAAGGCATAAAGGTAGAGAGAACCGGCAATCTTCAGCCGCAAATTGTTGGAATCAATCATTCGTGACACTGCCAATCTCCATTTCCAAGACAGAAATTACGCCTTCTTGTGGTCTTGAACAATCTCTACATTTTCAGCAGGTGCCGACCAGCTTCCATTCAACTCAGGTCTATCGCAATCCGGGTACGTTAGATGATTGTTCTTATGCTTGAAAGCTAAGATTCAGGTAGTAGCTAACTGAAAAGGATAAACCATGATTCGGACCGTGGTTTCAATGCAGAACCATGGCGTTATTCTTAATTCATCAGATGCGTCATCTCCGTGACGGCAGTTTTCAAAGATCCTCATGAGCTCAGGCTAACTGAGCAGAGTGAAAAATGAACCACTTCATTATCTGCCTTCTTGTAGGTCTTCAGATATCACCGTTGTTCTTGTCAAGGCGTCGTTCTCAATTCCAATAAGACCCGAAAAGGGACCCGATGAGAACATGGAAGATGAGCCATCAGATCCAAACGTGGTAACTGTGGACCTGTGTGCATGCCGTGTGATCGGAAATGACCTATTTGAAGCAGCAACAGATGTAGGAGTATCCACAGGACCTTCTCTCTCGCCTTCGCTGCTCATACCTCTTTCTGTGTCACGACCTGATGCATAATCATGACTGCGAATGACCGACTTCAGTTGCTGAACTACTTCTCCCATTGTTGGCCTATCGCTCGATTCAGGAGCTACACAGGTACCAGCTACAGCGGCCACACGTGCAAAGTCATCGGAAGGGTATTTGCCTCCCATCCGAGGATCTGCTAACTCATGAAGCTTGTTTCTCCTTTCAATTAATGGTCGGGCCTACGCATACAATAGAGGCAATCAGCAATTTACCAAAGGTATCCTGACAGAAAGAGAGGCCCTCGGTTAAAAGACTCACCCAAGCGACTATGTTTTCTTCTCCTGGAGGCCGAGTATAATCGACTGGCTTCCTGCCTGAGAGTAACTCTAACAACACTACTCCAAAGCTGTAGACATCACTTTTCACCAGTAGGTGTCCAGTCATGGCGTATTCAGGTGCCACATATCTGTCAGACAAGAAAGTAAACATAAGAGTAGAAACAAGACATTTGAATTCTAGTAATACATTCAAATTGATTTAGAGGACAAGAAATCAGGTCTAAAATTGATTCTCGTACAAGAAGTAACTTGTGGAAAAGAACGTAATAATTACCCAAAAGTGCCCATCACGCGAGTAGACACATAGTCCTGTTGACCTTCCGGGGCTGAGCGAGCCAGTCCAAAATCAGCAACTTTAGGACTGAAGTTATTCTCCAGCAATATATTAGAGGCCTTGAAATCTCGGTGTATCACACAAGGTTGAGAATCTTCATGTAAGTAGGCCAAACCCCGTGCAGCTCCCGAAGCTATTTTCATGCGTGTATTCCAATCCAGAGGACCACGCGATAAACTTAAAGGTCCTGCACACCCAACAGCTCTCACATCTTGAAAAATCCCAAATTAAATTGTTCTAACTGATTTGTTCGACAAATCATTCTAAGGAGCAGGAGGAAAAACTCCCCCAACTGGAATTCTGTGTAGAAGGAAGCACTGAACAGCCAAGCCGTCCTTGTGACAAACTCCTTTGCAATAATTGCACAATTGTCACAATCACAAGATCAGCACCTTTCCACTTAACAGCAATAAGATCGTCTCATTAGAACTTTGAATTAGTTCTGAACTACACGAATTAATGACAAAGACACTGAAAAATCTCAGATTCACTTCATCTTTATAAATTTCGATAGGAATGACTAAGTCTTTCATATCTGCTACTAAATATTAATTAGCCACTTGTACATCATGTAACACTAATTCCAACAGATACTATATTCCACTGCAGCGAAGCTCAAATAGATTCGTGTAAATGGCGGAAAAAGCTTTTACCATGCAGCCACGATTCAAGACTTCCATTCGGTATTAGCTCGTAGCATAGCAGTTGCTGTAGAGGTTCGAGTGAGCAATAAAACCCCAGCAGTTTGACTAAGTGCCGGTGATGCAGTCGGCTTAGCATCTCTACCTCCACCATAAACTCCTTGTCTCCTTGATTACCTCCACTTGTCAGCTTCTTTATGGCCACTTCTGTACCATCCCTCAAAACTCCTTTGTAAACTTTTCCAAACCCCCCTGCACCTATGAAGCATTCTGGAGAAAAATCATTGGTTGCTTCCTGCAATTCTTCATAAGAAAAATCTCTGGTATTTGAAGGCCTAGGAAATGACTTCTCACGAGTCGTAACCATTCTCGTTGAAGACGTACCAGGAGGATTGGACACTGCGGCCACTGCTGCAGCTGGAAGCAATCAAAAGATGAGACTTCCACACCAAATGATATACAACATAGTCCAAGTGAGTTTTATAAGTGATCATAAGAAAGAATGAATAGTTGATCTACATTCATATACTAAAAATTTAAGAAGTAAAATGTAAAAAATAAGAATTAACATAAATTATAGTGTGGAATTTGTAAATCTTGATACCTTTGTTGGAAGATTCAGGGTTCTTGACGTTCTTCTTTTTCCGAAAAACCCTCCAGGTAATGTATATTAAAAGTAGACATATTGTGCCAGCACCTGCAATTACACCTATTTTCCATGGATGCCAACGAATACCAGAAGAAGGCAAATTTCCACCAGTAGTAGAGTTCCGATCTTGAAATGGAGGTGGTGAAGTTGGTGCAGTTTTAGGCACAAAACTACCTGCCGCAACACATTCACATCATTATATTGAGTTCCCATATACAGAACCGAGTCCGGATGTGGTCAAACACATGGAAAGTTGAGACGTAACTGTATTATCCATTGATCTCCCTTTCAACGGAAGTCTCGTGTAACTTTCACCATCGATCCAGTATTATGTGCATCAGACACTAACTCACCAATTGGCGGAGGAGGAGGCAGAAACGCTGTGACACTCACGACGGTGTAATTGCTGAACAGAATACTGCTGAACTTCACCGAATGGGAGCTGAGAGTCTTGTTGATACTGTCAATCTTGTCAAGTGTGAAGGCTAAACCTATAAGAGGCCCAATATTGACGACCATGTTGAGAGAAAAATTGCTACCAAACTGGAATGCTTGAATCTGCACTTGTATGTCTATGAGTTCAAGTTGAGATGCTAACTCGTGTTGAAATTGGGATGTCAAGTTCGTGAAAGCACTAGAGGCATTCTCCATCTCAAAAACAACCTTAATAGGGTAGACACACTCGCAATCAGAAGCCTTTGATCCGGGTCTAGCGATCATATTGACAGCACAGCAACCTGCAGGTCAAAAATGAGATAACAAGTTTAACAAGTGACTACATTGCAAGCACAGGTAAAAATGCATTGCAAGCGTTACTCACGCGCTTCAAGCCTCCCACCAGAGTATCAGAATGTCCACAGCTCCATGTAGATCAAACATAAAGCCATACACAGCAGTCATGTAATACCAACCTCAGTCCTCTAACAGCACCAAGGAAAAATTTGAGCTGGAGTAAATTCTTCGTTACCCTAGTTACTTGGTCATGCACAAATACAAAGACGTAAAGAGGATGCGACTTTCCTTCAAGAGAGAAACATCATATCCTGAATTAAATGTCTGCTTGCAGAAACAAAATCACCTCGGAATGAGATTGAAACGTGCAGCTCTTCTAGAAGATAACAACAACCAAAGAGTGAGATAATACTATAGGTACCGGAAGGAGTAGGAGAAGGAGCAGTAGCATTAATTGGCGGCAGTACAGGTCCCGGTCCATCCTGGAAACTTGGCGGTGCTGATGCTGGAACTAAAGCTGGCGGTCGAACAGTGGGACTAGGAGGTAGATTCAGCGGGGACGAAGCAGGACCAGGAACAAGAGTCAAAGGTACTGGCGAAGGTGAGACAGCTTGAGCAGTGTAGCTAGCCACATGTGTTCCTGGAACAGTGTCGGAGGATGCAGGAGGGGTTGTGTAAGTGACGTGTATTGGTGTCGGTACCAGCGATTCTAGAGGAGTTGAGACAGGATTAACCAGATTGGAAAGCAGCCGCCTTCCAGGTATCAGAGGAGCAAAACCAACTGCAAACGTCCCACAAAGTGACCACTTGCTTCATATCACGCAGTTCAGAAGTTCGTTGCTTTCAAGGCCGCAAAGGAGCTCCCTACTTATAAAAGATATAGAAGAAGCAACAAATGCAAACGACTGTTCAAAAAGGGCTGACCCTCACGACCGACGAACCTGAAAGTGATGGCTGCCGTCCATCGCACCCATCCAGAGGCCAAACGAAGAAGCTGAGAAGACATAACCCTACGATCAAAACATGCGACGGCCACCAAGGCATAGCTGTTGAATAAGTTAACAGAATTAACTTCCAAGAATTTCGGCTTGACAGCTATGTCATTGGTGTCGGTCCCATGCCATCACTATCACCAGTGTATTACTTCTCAAGGTTGAGATATCTAATGCTGATAGATCCACCGCTTCGCTAGCTTTAAGCGTTGATCGTAGGCCTCCTTGTCCCTTGAAGACCAGATCATCCCAGTTCAATTCTCTACAGTTAAATTCACCAAAATATCCCCAAGCAACCGTTCCTTCACCTGCAAACAGTGATGCAGTTTGCATGTCGGAGGACAGTAGTTTGAAATACCAAACATGAGCGTCCTTCTTCAGCCACTTCCGATGCCTATTAAACATTGAAGCGCAACTAAGTCCGCTAATCCTGACCAGGATGTTGACCATATGCAATAACACTGGGATTCAACATGAGATTCCAGAAACGAGGGAACAAAATGTAAGAGGAATTCCCGATCCCTAAGGCGTTGGGGCATCTAGAAGCCTCAACTGATGGATTAGCGACCAAGATTGATTGATGATCTTCAAGTCCGATCAGTTCTCCACTTATTGTTCCTGTCGATCCTTTTCCAAATCCTAAAACAACATACAGCATTGTAGTGCTGAATCAAAGACGCTATGGTAGACGTTCGCTGGGTCACTTTGAAAGCACTCTGTTGAAGTAGCGACCAACTCCCAAAGTGACCGCAAACTTAGACTTCAACATCAAGCATTCTGCGCGATTCAATCCACTTGATTCATTAGCTAAAATAAATTAGACGCTAAGTTGATAATAAAGACATGACAAAATCCAGTATTCATCGAGGTATAACGAGTGCTCGGGAACCATTCTACAGGATGTCACGAGAATGCATTTTTCAAAAGGAAAGTAAAGACCCCCATACTGAAGTGGAAGTTGATGCATTGAGAAAGTGTTTATTCGAATAAATAAGCTTGTTAACTGAAATTCGAGCCATGAGACCCAGGGCAAAAATAATATCATCCAGAGTCTCAACATCCAGGTGAAAACACTCACAATACAGATGTTCACTACTAGACATATATCTAGAACACAAAACAGGTAATTGAAACAAGATGCTGCAAAAATGTTTGTCGTGAAGCTCGAACGAGCTGGCCATAGCAGAATCCAACCACGCACACAGCCGACACCACGAGATTTAACCATCAGTTATTACTCTTTTTCATCGAATTGAACATTCAAATAGCTGAGCATTTGTCTACTACGTTGAACGACCTCGCTCTCGATCAACACAGAACTGTAATCACAACCACAAAAAGGCAATAAAGCCAATAATAACAAAAATAACCATAGCTGATTGAGACATCGAGGTTGAAGCTAGGGTTTTTGTTGAGCATGTTCGTCGATTCGACAGCGACGTACCTCGGGATTGAATTATTCTACAGAGGGATAGATGTCAAGCAACTTCATCTAGTTTCTGTTAGAGATCTTATCGGTAGAGCACGACGAAGCAAGAATTTCACAGCCTCACTGCTGTTAGGTAGGGGCGGTGGTTACTCTGTGTACTGATGGCTGTTCAATTAAGCAATCTTTCCAAGTAAATCAAATACTTATTGTGAAATCAGTCTACAATTGTCAGAGAACGCTCAGGCTCTTTTCACCTAATCGACTGCAAGCGCGACTGCAAGCGCGGCTGCAAGCGCGGCTGCAACCTCTTGTAAAAAAAACCCCCGTTGCCTCGGCAGTTAACACCACTCCAGTACATCCAGCTCACATAATCTGTGTCTAATGAAACAATGTCTTCTACTTCGTCTTCTCGGGCACAATCTCCTCGAAACGGGAGATGTAAGAGAGCGTGGGACATTCTTAGGTATTGCTAACACGTCGTCGGTCTATAAAAGAAAATGCAACTTGCCTCGATCAACACAATCAAGAAGGTTGTACTTGTGCATCAACAAGACTTGCGAGGATAGCTTGAAATGAGGGATCTACAATTGATGGACATCTCACCAGATAAATTTCTCAAAGGCTACAGCAACTGAATGGAAGGATTAGTCACGGGTTTTTCACAGTAACAATGCAAGCGGAAAAAGCGTTCCAAAGTCCCTGCAGGCTCACATTTAATGTCGAAGAAAAGTTTAATAGGAGAGAGGAATCATACCCGTAAACTGTAGACATTGAGAACATCGACATATTGCAGGCGACCACTGTACCAAAGATCCCATTCCAAGGTGGTTCAAATTAGACTGGGTTCGAAATGCAGCTTGTCAAGATTGTCCGTCCAGACTCCCTACTGCGAAACAAGCGATAGACAGCGTTTATGAACTTCCAAGCGTTGCGAAGCCGGCAAGAATAAGACTCCAGCAAGAGTAATAACAAATCCATGAAGTACCATTGGAAAAATCATAGTACATGTGGTCATTACACTGAATGGCCGACAACAATCGGCAGACCCCGGTACTGGCTACGTGATAGTACAGGAAGTTGAATGAAAGGAACCTCTAATCTAACAGTCTCATGAAAAAACAGTGTAAACTGAGCCCTCCAAAAAGCAAGGATACAAGGAGAGTTAGCACAACTCGAGCGACAGATTATTTATGGCTTACAGTCACAGATCAATGCAATGGTAGAAACAACTAATGTTGGACCTCTAGTTGATCTTCAAAAAGATGTCCGGGCAAGAACACAGGCGAAGCAAGGTGCAAACCAGTTCAAAATGATTCGCAAACAACATTGTCTCCCTAAGCACAGCCACTTACAATCAGTCGCACAACAATGCAATCTCGAAACACGTGTTCACCACGTCCAATTCTAACCCAAACTTAAACCAAACAGCCGGAGCTAGGTCTCCACCAAACTAATCAAATTTGGATCCACCCACGCGAATCAACGTCATCAGTACCGCACAGCTCCGACCCTCTCTCACGCACCCCCAACAACAACCCAAGCTGGATCAACCCGCACGGAATAAACCACGCTTTAAAATATCCATCTCCCTAGGTTGTCCCACCTCGCACAACCCGTCAATCATAACTGCTCCCACGCCTGTCTAACGCTACCATCCACAGCCACCATCCATCAAACGCACCACTGCCACTCTCGCCACAACCTCAACACTCACCACACGCCTACAGAAATTACGCTCCGTGCGCACTCCACCTCGTCTCAGTCTCCCGCTTCTACCAATACCACCACTCCCTTAAAAGACTCCAGCAAAACCTCGCAAAACAAAGAATCCGATGTTCGGATGCTCCTCCGCCCTGAGCAAGCAATGATCCCGTTGGCGACAGAAGCGCAATTGTATAGCTCCAGGAGGAAGAGGAGAGGAAGAAGAATTAGAAGAAGAACGGAGGGAGGGAGGGGGAGGAGTCTCCACACGATGGCGTTGGGATTGAGAAGATGATGGCTACGAGAGTACTACTACTGCAACTGAAGCTTTGCTTGAGTTCGTTCTTCTGTCTTGGTATTGAATCCCAGGAGGCTCCAGAAGCAGCAAGCAGACGAGGAAGACGAGGGAGACCCGCTATAATGAATGAGGCGACTGGACACGCCAACGCTGGCTCTACCAAGGCCGTGAGACTCTAGTCGTCGTCGTCGTCCCCCCCCCCCCCCCCCCTTCCGGCTCCTTCGGTCCTTCTTTGGCTCGCTTTTTTTTTCCGCGCGCTTTCTCCCTCACTTTTTTTCTCTCTCTACCCACCGTTACTCTCTCCTTCCTTCGTTCGTTTGTTCGTTCATTCGTTGCCCACCGTCCTTTCCGTCTCCCTCCATGTTATGCTCTTCTCTACATTATTATCACGGGGGCGGGGTGAGTTGTAGTTACACTCACTCTCACGCACTTAATCACTCACTCACTCTGTGACTGTTTTGCGTGCCTTGGTCTGGTCCGGTCTAGGTCTCCTTTCCCTTCTCCCGCCCCAGCTCTTTCCCAGGTCCATCAATGTCTATTCCCCGCTTCCTATGCGACGCTCTCGCCCCGCTCCCACTCCCCGCGCCTCGTCGGTCTCGGGGATTCGACCTGCTGCGGGTCGGAGCGCTCTCGGACCCGCGGTAAGTTCGTTAATTTAGGCGGGATCAGCACCCCCCCCCCCCGTTCCCGGCTGATTTGCTCTCCTCCTGGCTCACACCTCACAACAGTAGACCCCCTCCCTCCACGTCCTCCTCCTCCCCCTGATGGCTATCTCTGCATCTCCTGCGCGGTCATTGGGGGGGGGGGCACTACTTGCAATGTGATATACTTACTTGCTCCCATTGCATCTCTCTTGTTCTCTTGTTCTCTCCCATCCAGTCAGCATATTCCCTTTTTACTCAACTCTCCTTTTTATCTTTTTCACGTTTTTTTTTTTTCATGTCAGAACAATGGCATGCTCACTTTGTTACTGGCTTTAACAGCAATTTTTAGTAGGGGGAGGGCCTGTTGCTGTTCTTGAATGTTAACCAACCCCTTCTCAGAAAAAACTGTCAGACCTCAGCCCATTGATGATTCCTTTGCCAGAACTTTAAATATAGCACTCACTGGAGAGAGAAAAAAAAATGCCATAGCTCTCTAATTCCTCTGATTAAGTTTGTGGCAGCTGATTGAGTGGAGTTTACACACTCAAATAGGAGCTGATTTGCATCGCATCTGTGTTCTTGCCCTCATCTTACCACCACAATTTGTGCTGGTGCAGCCGCTCCTCTATTCATGCCTGTGCTGTGTGCTTTTCGAAAGAAACTACAGAAAATAAGAAAGAAAATAAGAACAAAAATATTAAAATGAATATAATTGATTCCGAAAAGGGCACTGCGGGTTTGGATCTACGTCTGACATGGTGAGGGGGAATAAGAAGGTGAATTGTCAGTTTTGTGGGTGGATGGCACCCATCCCTTCCAAACTGACAAAATAAAAGCATGCGGCTGCTGCTGCTGCTGCTACTACTACTACTACTTACCCCCACACACATGTGGTGAACTCTGTTATTATCCCCCCCCCCCTCCCCCCCTTATACAACTACTTCTTCTTCTTCTGTAGCTTAAATTACAGCCACATTTTAGCTAATGCACTATCACTCAAACACTTGCCTGCCCTAATGGTGCAATCAAACCAGTGTTTTTTTTCCAACTCTTTAACTGAGGGTGGATTCTAGAAGTATAACTACTAATGTGCAGGAAGTGGTGGTTGTGGTGGTTTTGTGTCCCAACAAGGCCATCAACAACCCTAAACCCAATGCAATGAAGATGTGCCCATTCACCTTCACCAACACCATTAACTCCCTCTCTTGCTCTCAGTGTCTCACATGCATACACATGAAAAAAGTGAAATGCACTTGGAGAGATGTATGGTTTCTTGCAGTTGTGCTTCTAGGGAGGTGGAGATGGACTGGAGTTTAACAGATTGTGAGTGGGTGAGTGCCTTAGGGTTGAGATTGTTGTTGTTGAAAGGGGGGAGGGGGGGGTGCAAAGAAGAATGGAAGGAGGGGAACTATGGCAATGCTGTGGGTGATGTAGAAAAAAAGTCTTTTTTTCAAAAAAAAACTTTTTCATAGCTTGCATTGAAAAAAAAATCAGTGACCAGTAGGGATTTGGTGTATGTTTTGTGATCTGCAACAGTCAACCAGGTCTGGCTCACTGCTGCAAGCAAAAAATAACAATCACAATAATAAATGAAATGAAATAAAATAAAATAAAACACACAAACAACTAAATGATTATGTACTATGATTATAATCATTTATGTACTGCATAACCAAAAGATAAGCAAAATCCTCTACTAAATAGATGGAAGGAATATTTTATATATGTGCGTAGGAGTCACTTGATTGTAATACATCATCCATATTTGATTAAGAAGTTTCAAAGAAAGTTGAAAAAAATCAATTGAACTTGCATTATATTTTGATTAAAATGCCATTTTTTCTCTTTTTTTTTCTTTCACAAAAAGTAAGATAATTATTTCAACTATAATATGATAGCAACTTAAACCTCACCTTAAATGCTCAAATTTTACCCTTTAATCTCACTACACTATGATAGATTTTCCAATATCATGGACATACATATTTATTTTAATATTTACCTATATGATTAAGTAGAAGTAAGTAAAAATAGATTTATTTTATAATACTTTATAGAAAAGCTTCCTAAAAGCTTCATAGACATTGCTTTAACTTTCCATGTATTTGTTGTTGATTAGTAGGTTAGAAACTTAGTCAACAAATTAACCACATGTTGGTAGCTTGCGGAATAAGTTAATTATGTTGCATATATATAAAAAAAAACTTGCCTTGTAAGTTAAGATATGTGTCTTGCAAATTCAAAATGTTTTGGAAGTCCTATAGGACATCGCCATATAGCTCCTAATTAAGAATATATATGAAGGCAAGAGTGAAGCCTTCTTCACTCTTGTTAATGCCTTTTTAGTTTTTAATCTTGTTTAAAGACTTTTTAGTCTTTTTGTTTTGGCAATAGCTATTTTAATTTAATACCATATCATTTTTGAATGACTTTTTAGTTCTTTTAAGTGATATAAGAGTGTATTCAAGATTTCTTTTTTTCAAAATCCATGTCTTTGATAGTTTGACAAGAATAATAATTTATTATTTTTTGTCTTGTTTTAGAATTGAATGGATTATCCCATTTCTATTGTTATATTTTGAAGTCAAATAATAAGGATAACTTCCAAGTTTTTAGAAACTTATTCATCAAGGCCAAAATCAATACAAATTGATACAATACATTTTAAATTCTTCATGAATCAAGAAAAGACTTGATAATGTCAAAAGGGCTTATACTTATATTTTGGAGAAGCCAAATACATTGCTCAACATTGTTTAAAGAAATAATGCAACTAAAAAATTAAAAGCATGGTTACCAAAAAAGATAATGTGGCAAAAAATAAGTTTTTCTAGCTATAATAGAGACTGTGCAGCTAAAATCATAAGTAATTCCTAATAATGGTCATATTCTCTGCTCAGACCTACACCTTGTTTTATAATAGAAGTTTATTTAGGACCAAAAAAATTACAAACTCTTAGCTTTGTTAGATTCAAGAGCCTCAACCTATTTTATAAACTAAGATTTTATCAAAAAATAAGAAATATTATTTGTCAAGAAAACTAAGTTCATATATATGGAAGTCATAGGTGGTCGTTTGCTACCTTTTGGAGATATTATGCATAAGATTGATCCTTTAGATATAGCATTTAAAGATCATAATAGATAGAAATATTTAATATAATAAGATCTTCATCTAATTTGATTATCTTAGTTGAAAAAGTATAATCCTTAGATAGATTGGATTTCTTATAACCTTAATTTTTTTTTGATAGCTTAATCCAAAATTCTATTAGTAAAATAAAAATACATAAATTTAGTACATTCAAAGCCTTACTAGTAGGTACAAGAATTTTTATGCATGCTACAAAAGAAGTGTCATATTTTACTATATATATCATGTTCATTTTTAATGATAGAAAGACTACAAAAAAATACAAATATTCTTCCAAAGCATAGTCCTTATGATTCTTCCATCAATCTTTAAGAAAAAACTCAACCACCATTTGGACCAATCTATAGCCTATTACAAAATGAATTGGCTCTACTCAAGGAGTACATTAATGAAAATTTGGCTAAGAATTTCATACACCATTCTAAATCTCTAGCTTGAGCTCCTATCTTATTTGTAAAGAAAAAAGACAGACCTTTGCAAATATGTCTAGACTATCAAGGATTCAACAAGATCACCATCAAGAATATATATCCTCTACTTTTGATTTCAAGACTTTTTGATCAACTCAATGAAATAAAGATCTATATAAAAATAAATCTAAGACGAGCATATAATCTAATATGCATTAAAAAAAGAAATAAATAAAAAAAACTACATTTTGAACTAAGTATGGATATTTTAAATATAATGTCATGCCTTTTGGACTCAAGAATTCACCAGTTGTTTTTTAATATTTAATAAATGATATCTTTTGTAAATTTCTTGATAATTTTATTGTCTGTTATTTAAATGACATCTTAATCATTTCTAAGAATATATAAAAGCATAAAATTTTTGTTTGTTGTGTACTAAAAAAATTTAAAGATACAAGATTATATGCCAAATTAAAAAAATATATATTTTATATTACTGAAGTTGATTTCCTAAGATACATCATTTCCAACAAAAGCCTAATGATAGATTCAAAGAAGGTTCAGACTATCATGCATTGAAAGATTCTAAGAATAGTAAGAGATGTATAATGGTTTTTAGGCTAATACTAATCAATCTTCATCAAGGATTTTTTTTCAAGTTATAGTTCCACATACATGTGTGACTTATAAAGACAAACTTGAGTGGAATAAAGAAGCCAAAGCATTATTTGATGCTTTAAAAAAGGAGTTTATTTCTACACCAATCTTATATTGTGTTGACTTTTTTAAGGCATTTGTCATGAAAATAAATGCATCAGACTTTGCATTGGATGTAGTATTATCACAAATGGAAGTAGATAACAAACTCTATTTAATAGCTTTTCATTCTTAAAATTTTTCAATGACCAAGATTAATTATGAAATCTAGAAGAAAGAACTCCTTACAATTGTGGATTCATTTTAAG